AGAATTATATCGATGGAGTTGTATATAAGAGATACTAACTCCTGTGGAAGTAAGACTTCTACCTAGAATGGATTCCATGCTCCTGAGCTGTCCTCAGAAGACTCCACAGAATGCTATACAAACTGCCTCAAGAACTCTGGCCAAAAGGAGTGCATAATGCTGACCTGTTGGCAAACTATATTCCCATCCTATATCCTTCCAAAGACTGGTGCCATGTGTAGCCTATGACAGTCTTTAGGGTATGACTGTTCAGTTAAACCAAGACTCCTGAAATACACATATTTTGGGTTAGCTCTGCAGTTATGCATGTCTTGCCTACTTCAATGAGATGAATATGAAAATATTATATAAATGGCAAAGCACTACCTAAATATAATTGCTATTAAAATTACAAAATATATAGGGTAAATAGGTTAATTTTTGTCACTAAAACTAATGGTGAAGGTTGCTATAGCCCAGCTGGAAACATTCTTCTTTGAGTTGAATATAGCTCCTTAAAAGCCTGATGATAAAGGATTTAGAACTGACATACTCAGCATAGAAGTGAGTCATAAAATTGTGCCCATTGTAGGGGTTGGCCAAACTCTTTAATTATATTAAGTAGCAATAAGCACCTGCAACTGAGACTGAGGTCGGCCATCTTGTGGCTATGGGAATGGGAAGCTGTTTCAAATGAAAACAAAGGGGCTAGCATCCTCTTTCCAAGCTCTTTTGATCACAGACAAAGAGGAGGCTGTGAAAGTCCCATCAATCCAGGACTTGCCAGAGGTTCTACAGCCCGCTCTGGAGGCTGCTCTTTGTGACAAGAATGTCAATGTGCAGATGGCAGCAGCTGTATGCCAATATGCCATACAGTCACATAATCCCGTTGCCCGGGACATCATGCAGACTGCCCTTCTGAACGGTGAGTAGCTCTGTTACTTCTGACCTGGGAATATGTGGTAGAGAGAAGACATCTGACCATCAGCTTTTCCTAATCCTCTCCTTTCCACTATCATGCTCTAAGGTCTACTGTATTTGGTTTGCGTTTATGTTAGAACATTCAAAAATTAGTTCCAAGGTACTTTTACAAAACAGGTACACTGCCACCTAGTGGTACCTGAGCTAAACGTTTCATAGATGGTTTCATTTAACTAGAAAACCATGGCCTTTCACATAACTGAATTTTCTTTTCATTGAAAAAATGTAACAATATTAAAGAATACTCTCTGAAAATTAAAAAATCACTACTTGAACACATCGGGCTTCCATTTTTGCACATTAACTTATAGGCATTATCCATATGCATTGTTGGAGTGACACAAGCAAAAAGATGTCATGTTGACAGGTCTAGGTGCTTAACCTCTGAGAGATGTGCCTGCTCAGAGTGGGGGGACCAGGGGGTGGAGAAAGACTAGGCCAACTGGCTGACTGGTTTGGCCTTCTGCATATAGACACTCAACAACTTGATTCATCTGTCTTAGGAAAGCCTTCACTCTAGACTTCCCAATCTCTAGGGGAAGGAACAACTGTTTCTCAGCCAGGTCAGAAGTACCTTTTAGGATTCAGCTTTTCAAGTTAGTATTTTCAGTCTATATTTAAAACCTTGATAGGATCTATTTAAATATGGTTTATGTAAGGGGCTGGATTTCTAGACTAGAGGGGCACAGGGAGGTGATGTCAGGCAGGTCTCTTGGGGGAGAATAGGTGGCCATTCTGGAATCTTTTTTTCACCCCACTGTGGCAGGTAATAGCGCGGACAGCTGGGCTGCAGCTCAGTGCTTGGCTCTGGACGGTGCTGCCACTTACCCTGTGATTAAGAGGATCCTCCATCAGTTGTTCAACAAAAAGAATGCAGACACTGAACACCAGTCTTATATGCTCCTGAGCCATCTCAGTGGGAAGACAGTATGTGTCCATTACAGGGTCAGAGAAATGAACCAAGTTTGGGGGAACAATTGGGTCTTCTATGTCAGTGAATGTAAGGAATCAAAAATGCAGATGGTTAGAAAGAATGATCTCAAGCACAGGTAAAATTGGACTAAATGTGGTTGAATTGGGGTGTACAGGTGTATACAGGGGAAGAGAGACAACAGCTAGTTGAGAGGAAGATGAGAAAAGTAAGTTGCAGATGGTTTCTGCATATGCAAGAAGAGTTGTGATAACGTAGAATTTGCTTCTGCTATGTCTACCTTTGAAAACCAAAAAGGGTAGTAAATACATTTGTATTTACTTTCAGCAGAAATGTGAAACTCACAAAGACTGAGGCATATACAAGTCATTTCACAGGTAAAGACAGTTAAAGTCAAGAAGTTAGTTGGCTTAGATGGAAGAGTGCTATATACTTTATAAACCCCCTTTTCTAGGGATGGGCATCTCATGTATTTATGACATTATGTTGGATGCCATGTTAGGGTGAAAGTTCTTCGAGGTTCTAGCATCTCTAAAAGTGATAATAACTATCCACACAAGTCTTCTATTTTCTCAGACACTGATACACACCATGCTTGCTGTGGAGCTGAATAGCCGTCAATGGAAGGACCGGATTATGGCCTGCCGGGCTCTTTCACGCATAAGTGGAAATGTCTGCTTGGTAAGCCTTCTCTGTTTCCAGGACAGAAAATCTAAGCAAAACTTGGCTAGGGAGCCCTCCCACTTTTTGCTGCTATCTAGTATCCCATTCTTACCAGATCTCTGTGCCCACGTTGCTACCTTTAACTCCTAACCCAGAATTATCTTCAAATGCCAACATGTCTTTCTGTGACTTAAGCCACTGCTTATCAGCATGGTGGCAGTTCACAAACTGTTTGTAATCCTCCCACAATGAAATTAGCAAAAAAAAAACCCCAAGACTTTAAAAAACTTTTATAGTAATGACATTGATCAATATCAATGTACTATATATCAATGACATTTTCCTGCTCAAAAACTGGTCCTTCATCAGATAGTTTAAAAGCACTGTCTTAAACTACCCAACAATCCAACCACACTAGTGTCTATGCTGGCTCTCCCTGAGTGTTCACACACATACAGAAGATATAAAACATAGTCCCTACTTTCCAAAAACTGACATTATAGTTGGAGTAACAAGACTAACATACACAAATGATTCAAGAACAGGTAATAAATGTAAGGTACTCTCTTAAAACTTTTCAGAGGGAGGGAGATTAGTATAGGCTGAACTTTAACTTCAGTTAAAGTTCTGTGAAGGAGTGGGACAGCTGAGCAAGACTTGGACAGAACTGAAGGGTGACTTCCTGACCATCATTTAGGCTTTCACCTGATCTTCTTCTTGCCATTATTTCTGAATCATCTTCAGCTGTCCAACTGGAATTTTTCCCTTCTTCCCATGTATCATTATATCTTTCCCTTATAACACTAAGTACCTCCAAAATGGCCCAGAACATTATCTTTCCCATAAGAAGTGAACACCCTCCCCTCTTTCACCCTTGCATTTTGACGTGAAAAGCACAAAATCTGGCCATTTAGTATAATCACCTGAAGATGTTTTAGTCTGAGTTAATTCCACCTCAACTGCTATAGTACCATGTGGCTAAATCCTGGACCAGGAGCACAGGCATCACCTGGGAGCTTGTTCGAAGTGCAAAATCTCCCCTCAGGTCAACTCAATCAGAATCTGCATTTTACCAATATCCTTTTAATATCCTATTCATTTGCACATTCACATCCTTAGCACTTGTCACTCAGGACTGCCAACTGAAAGTAAAAAGACATGCGGAGCAAGCAGGGGATAGAGTAAAAATGAGAACTTCGCGTCAGACTGCTGGAATTAAGAAAGGCAGTTATGACTAAAAGGGGATGGAAAAAGATATTGCTCTGAGGGACCTAGAGGGTATTACGCTGAATGAAGTAAGTCAGATAAAGACATAAATACCACGATTTCATGTACGTGTGGAATCTAAAGAACAAAATAACAAAAACGGAAACAAACTCATAGATAGAGAATATTTTGAGGGCTATTAGATGGGAGGGGGGTTGGGAGGACAGTGAAAAAGGGCAAAGGGATTAAGAAGTACAAGTGGATTGATACCAAATAGTTATGGAGATATAAAGTGTAGCATCAGGAAAATAGTCAACAATGTAAAAAATATGTAAGAGGGAAGAGGGGTACTTGATTTAGTGGGGTGACCACTTCGTGAGTTATACAGAACTTTAATCACTATGCTATACAACTTAAATATATTATTGTATGCCAACTATAATTGAAAAAATCTCATTGTATTGTACAATGTAAATATGAGCAACTAATTGTCTATTATACTTCAATAAAGTTGGGGGAAAAAAACAAACAGAAAACACAAACAGAAAAGGCAGTATGTCCATCAGTTCATTCACTCATTAAGTGATCAAGCGGTTTCTGACCACATCCTACATGCGAGGCACCATGCTAACACTGAAGATGCAAAGATGTTTGCTTGGTGTTATAACTATAATAGCAGCAGTTGTAAGGTATTACAGGGTTTTCTTATGCTTTCAGAGGACAAAGGAGAGTTCACTGAGATGCTTTTTGAGCTAAATCCTAAAAGAGTAGGAAAACATCAGGTACCACGTAGGGGTGAAAAGGGGAGATGTTTCAGGCAGGGAGAATAGCTTGGACGCATTCACACAATCAACTACAACTGCAATAATCTGTGTCCCTTCCCCTCTCAGAGAAGTACTAACATATAGGGGACCAACTGTCCTGGTTTGTCCAGGACATATGACTTTTAGTACTAAACCCAGAAAAGTCCCAGGAAAACTGGGATGAGTTAGTCACCCTGTTAATGTATTACCTTCAAATATTAACTCTCTTGAGTACAGATTACATTGGCCCCAATGTAGCTCAGAAAACAGACCTAGTTCTGAGTGTTGGCTCCAGCACTAAATTTATTAACCTTAGACAAGTAAATCTAAGCCTTCAATTTGTCATCTGTAAATGGTAATATCTGCCTCATTGGATTGTTTGAAAGGATATATAAAAACTCTTAGCACAAAGGCAAGTATAAAATTGATGTTCAGTAAATGGTAGCTAATTACTATACCTATTTTATAGGATATAAAACATAAATTGATCCAGCTCATGTGGAGTGACTGGAATAAGGAAGTAAGACAAGCAGCTGCCCAAGCTCTGGGGCAAATGAGTCTTGGCAAAGAGGTGCATGATGCAATCAGGTAAACCTAGTCAACACAAAGAAACTTTTCTGTTCTTAATAGTGTTCAGGGGCCCTGCGATCCAGCCAGCCAACATTTGTTGAGCTGTTCTGTGTTCTCAGCATTGTACTAGGTTCCACTGCAGAATTATTAATTTTTTTTAAGTAAAATAAAAAGTTAGCAGTCCTTACAGACATTAATAATGTGGGTAAGGAAAAAAATCATTAACTGAGTGCCCACTAGATGTTAGGCAGTTTTAGATGTTTGAAAGAGCCCAAATGTATGACATGATACTGATTATATCAGCAAAATACACAAATGCCTGGTAAGACCAAGTTTCACAGTAATGGATAAAACTACAAAGGAAGAGAGGAAAAGAAAAGACATTCCAAGTTGGGAGCCAAATGCAGAAATAAGCATGGTACATGTGTGAAGGCAGTGAAAAAAAGAACTTGACTGTAGTTAAGAGGTGGCATGTTCAGTTTCCTTTATTTAGTCAATCAACATAGTTAAGTGCCTACCGCATGCTAGGTAATAGGGATTCAAGTAACTAAGACCATTGATAGCTCTACCCAGTCAAACTTAACCTAATGGGCATAAAGCCAACTAGAGAAGGGCGATAATGGAGAGAGCCTGCAGAGGTTGGATTTTATCCTGAGTACATTAGGGAGGACTGAGGGGGTGGAATCACCAAAAGTTTAAAGAGGAAAAATTAAAGCCCCTGTAACTGTTACAGAGTCAAGCTGGTTCAAGGAAATTCCCAAGAGCGTGTGGAAGCCCTGTCCCTGATTGGTAGGCTCAAGCTCATGACCGCCAAGCTTCTCCCAAGCTTCCTGAACAGCTTCTCTGATGACTTCATGACAGTTCGACAGGCAGCCTGTTTGGCAGCAGGTGCCCTGCAGATCCGTAATACAATGGTGAGTCAATGAAACATGTTCCCATCTTACCTGATTAGCTGGAAGAAGGCATTAGCCTGAGCTTCCCTTGTTGTGCATAGAATACTCACTATTCTGCGGGAACACAGAATGAGAGATCAGAACCAGGAAGGTGAGGGGGCATAGGCCACACCAATCAGTTAGGACCACATTAAGCTCCCAGACATCCCAGAAATCCCAGACTTCACTGTAGAGCACATCACTGAATCTTGTTTTCATAGCTGTGGCCTTCAGGATCAACTCTAATGAATGGAGTTATGATCCCATGTTATTAAGAGAAAACCTGATGGAGGTATTCAAAAGAAGCCTGTATAGCCAGACTTCAGGGGTCCTCAATCCCAGGGCTGTGGACCGGTACTGGTCCATGGCCTGTTAGGAACTGGGCTGCACAGCAGGAGGTGAGAGGTGGATGATCGAGCGAAGCTTCGTCTGTATTTGCAGCTGCTCTCCGGCACTAGCGTCAATGCCTTAGCTCTACCTCAGATCAGGCATTAAGATTCTCATAGGAGCACCAGTTCCTGGTGCCAGAAAGGTTGGGGACTGCTGCCATACATAGATCTGTGAGCTAAGAAAATCAATTTACAGATATGAGATAATCCAGCTAATACATTATGTGTGCAGGCTAGTACTTCAGGCTCCCGCTCATTTGTCACTAGAATTGATATGTGATTTTTGTAAGAGTACATTTTAGAGACAAGAGGGGTGGCCTGTCTCTGGTTCATTCTTGATCTGGTCCTCTATACTCAACATGGCCCTTTTATCCATCCCAGGTCCTTAAATGCCTTCTGAATCTGATACAGGGAGATCCTTACTGGAAAATCAAGGCCTCTGCCATTCGAGGTATGAGAGTGGCCCCAGTTCCTCAACTTCAAATACCTTCTCATATGCTAGTAGAGATGATCCCCAGACTCTCTAGGAAGGAGATGGAATGTAAGGGAGGGGATGATTGCATCTGCTCAGAAGTTCTTTGCCCAAGAAAGATTATTTTTTCTTTTTAATTTTTAGTTAAGGATCCTGAGTCTAGGTCTAGGTCAAATTCGTTAAGGCAAAAGGCTGACAAGAATCCCTGCCAACCAAATTAAGGCTAAGTTCCAAGTAGGTATCCACTGTTGGATACATTTGCTTACTCTGGTGGTTTCAGCTATAGGACTTTGTAAAAGTCAGACCATATTCAAGATGACTACAGACCTAAAACCCTGCCTTCAAATTTTCCTAGGTCCTTTCCAAGAATCTTTGGCATTGTTTCTCTGATAGTCTTTGGCAGGTCTCTAGCAAAATCGGCCCTAGGTAAACCTGTGAAGTAATTATGCCTCTTTGTCCCATCACCCTGCCTTAACTAGAGTGGTCTTCTGAGTTATCTGTCCCATATCTCATTACAACATATGTTAATTAGTAAATTAGTGTATTCTCACATGGGCAAGGATGGGATGGATCACCCCTTCTAGGAATCCTTTGGAGACAATGTCCTTCTCAGACCCCTTCCTGAAATTCTAATGATGGTTAGCATCCCAAAAGGAAGATACAAAAAAAAAAAAAAAAAAAAAATAGTTTAGCATTTACAATAATTAATATAGCAGGTAGCTAGCTGCCTGCACCTTATTTATTAATAAGGCCATTTCTGGATGACAGCTCGGTTTTAAGTGACAGTGGAACATGCTGTCCTCTAATCTCTGCAGCTTTAGGACAAATTGGCCAAGTGAGTCCCCAGCTGACAGACCTCCTGCTCTGGGCTGTCCACTATGAAAAGTCACCAGGTGTTCGACTAGAAGCTTGCCGTAGCATCCTAGCCCTCAAACTTCAAGGGGACCGGGTCCGGGACACCTTCCTAGACGTGTTGCTCATAGAAAACCATGATGCTGTTCTAAAGTAAGGATTAAACCTCTGGTTCCTTCCACAACCTCTTGTACTGCCAACTCTCCTCCCATCCCTGTTAACAGAATATACCCCTGCTTTTCCAGACTGCCTATGGCTGTTAAAAGCATGGGCTCACTTGTACATTCATTTACTTGCTCATGTGGGTAACAGAAAAGCTGACCTAAATTAGATTGAAAGTCAAGCTCATATTATTTATACATCTATTCGCCATCCCAGGTGGTTTTAAGTTATTCTATTTATTCAACTAATATTTATCAAGTGCCTACTCTGAGTACAAACAACCAGGGTTTGATTCCCAGCTCAGGCTTGAACTAGCTATGTGAGCCTGAATAAGTTACTTAAACTCCCTGAGCCCATATTTTTCATATATCAAATTTCATATATCTTATGCGTTTGTGGTGATGAGATGACAAGTTCACTATCTGCCATAAAGGTGTTCAATAAATGGTACCTATTAGTACCTTCAAATATATCACCTCAAAAACTACACAACATCCCTATAAGCTAAGCATCATACCATTTTTGCACATAAGGCTCAGCAAAACCACATAGTAAGGATTAAAATTTAGGATTCTTGTTTGATTCCAATCCTATATTTTCTACCCCCTGCTTTTTTTAAAGATAAGAAGAACCACCTAAGAAATCCTTCTTATTTTCTAGGGAAATTCACCAGGCAATGAAGATACTCAACTTAGAAAAGGAAGGAAACCAAGAATTGCTTCAGGAGATAAAGAACAGGGTAGATAAGTGCAAGCTGTTTTCAAGAGAAAATTCAGGGCTCTCAAGAGTTCTTCAGACCCTTTCTTCCTACTAAGCATGTATATATTCTTTCCCCATCACAAAAATACTTTCTACAATCCTAGACACAGATACCATACTGTTTGAAGATACAAAAATCTGTGCAAGATAGGATTATAAAATCTTATTAGTAAAAAGACAAAACAAAAATCCTATTTTATCAAGTAGCCCTCAAAACCAGGGTTTTTTGTTTCTGAAATAGTTTCCTTCCCTTCCTATTTTCTCCCCACTATCCCCTAAACCCAACATCTTTCTTTTTTGTAGATAGCATAATGAAGGAATGAGAAATTGGAGCTAGCATTCTAGGTTTTCTTTTTCCTTCTGAACTTTCCTTAATTCTTAATCTGCGCTCTTTCACCAAAAGAACACTCTAGCTGAACAGGTGGTTCTAATTTTTCAAAGCTGTTGGAGGAAATTTAGGAATCGAGGGAAAAAGACTTTAAAAATGCAGGATTCTTTCTTCATATAATTCTCAACACCAGCTTCACACCAAGCATTTCTTAGCAGATTCCTTTCATCATGCACAAAAAGCTAAAGTAAATTTTTCATTAATAGGTGTAAATGTCCAACCAGTATCACAAGAGAATAATGCTCTCAGGCATTTATGTGCCACCTAATAGTAATAAGCATGATGCAGTGTTACTTTATTAATGCTTTTTGATGATTTGCAACCTAGTGCAGTTGTTTTTTTCAAAATCATTTGTTCTGATCTAGATTCAAACACTAAACCAAAAGGACTTGCTGACGCAGAAAATATTCAAGATTGAGACAGTCGTAAGAAAATTGAAAAAGGAAGCTAAACATGTTTACTTGCAACCCAAAGAAGGGCAAAAACCATTGAAACTCCATACTTTTCTTCAAGAAACTTTTCAGGGTAGGTTTTCTAGGGGTGAGTCTTGTGTCTTAACTTTTAACAAGCCTTTTCCAGGATCTGGATGATTTGGGACTTAGTTGTGAGCCATGTGGGATGAGAGCTAGGAAAGGCTATCCCCTTTCCTTCTTCGCCGCCATCCTCTCAGTCCTCCTGTTACTTTTTTTTTCCTGCCCCCCCACCCCCGCCAGCTTTTAGATGCTATTTGTCCCTTAAAAAAAAAATTGACGAAGGCAGCTCAATTTGAACTATTTGAAAGGTCAAAAAAAATGCCTATTAGAAAAACGTAAGTTTAAAACAAAACAAAAAGTACCCCCCCAAAAGCCTTGTAGGCTTAATTTTTAATAGTAGTTACCTCTGGAAAGTGGGGTTGGAGGGAGAGCCATCATTTTTATTTTATGTATGCCTATGGTTTTGCAACTTTAAAAGACTTTACAAAATTCTCAACCTTATGTAAGTGAACCTATCAGTTATGGTTATAGGATCTTAAAAGTTCCAGATAAACCTAAATGATGGGGTGCAGACATGAAGCTGTACCAATATATACTTACAAAATCTGTGTGCCCAGGTGTAGCAGCAGCCTCAGGTCACTCAGCCAGCTGCCTACCAGCTACCACCCCAAACCCAGGTCTTCTGGTTCCAAGTCCAGTGCTCTCTCTGGTACACCAGGCTCTTTTCCACCAATCATGAGAATATTCACTTGCCAGATAGGGGGAAGTTTCTTCCAACTGCCAGAAAAAAATGAGAGTGGAAAGTGACTTGAACAACAGCCTTCCCTCATGGTCAGCTTGCTACAAGCTGGTTGACTGAGGCCTATGATAGCACAACTAAAAGACATGCTGCCTCTTCGGGAGCAGTACCAGCCACTGATGCAAGCAAGCACTGAGCAAAAACATAATATACTCTTCAAAACAGACAATTTTACTGTTTGGGGTTCAAATACCATGATTAAAAATGAATAAATTACTCTCAAAGTACAGAATTGGCCTCAATCCTACAACTACTCCAAGTTACCTTTTACCTCAGCCATTATAGATTTTCCCTATCTTCCTCCCCTTTCCCACATTCTTTCAACCAACCATGCTACATAATCATCTAGCCTTAGAAAAGGAAAACATTCTTTGGCACTTTAATAACTTTTCTAACATTCATACAAACTCACAATAACAAACGGGATACTGACCCCAACCCTCCCCCCAAACTGATGAAAGAGAACTCAAATGAAGAATGCAAACTCCAAATAAAAACTTCTAATGTCTCAAGCAGAATGACATAGCAAGTGCTACACAGTACACTGAAGCTGGAGGGTAATGATGAAGTTGGTACTCGAAATGATCAGAGATCAAGGTTATTTCTGCAGAAATAGCTCCTTTTATCCACCTCCAACTTCTGCTTTTACTTTTGTGCCTAGATGAGGTGGTGGTTCCTAGAAGACCATCCGAGATTTGTGACATTGAAGCAGTCATAAAGGTAAATGTGAGCACATTGATGGTTGTCAAGGTAAGAATATGAGTTCCCTTCCCCCCTCCCCCAAAAAGGAGGTGGTGGTATGACTCACTACTGTCTTGTTCCCGTCAAGAAACTAGTTCAGGTAAGAGGCATCTTGGTGAGCAACAGCCCCTTATCATATAACATAGTTGCCAAGGAAAGCTGGTCCTCCACACTGTCACAGGGCAGGTCTCCTACTTTAACAAACTCTGGGTAGGAGCGGAGCAAGAGTTCCATGGCATCCGCTTGCTGGGGGTATATCTCCAAGCACTTGGGCTCTTCCAGATGATAAACACGGGAGTTTTCCACTGTATAATAGAGAAACAAATGGCCTCCCTCACCCACCAGCCGAGCTATTCCATCCTGAAGCATGTGCACTTCTGTTTCTGTTGTCAACTGCGCCCCCACGTTTACAGGTTCTCCAGCCTCCCAGCGAATTGGGAGTCCATAAACACTTAGTGCCCTCTCCCTATCAGTCAACACGGGAGGCAGAGAATCGTGGATGAAGTCTTTGGCTCGCTGGTCAGCCACAGCATCGACAGGGGCGAAATGTCCCAAGCGGGCAACCAAGACCCGCACCTTCTCCATGAAAGCGGTTCTTCGCGGATCCTTAGAATCCGAATGCTGGGCCCCCATGTAGTCCATGAAGTCTCGGGGCAGACCCCTACGAAATTCCACATTTTCTTCCATTGCAGCCTGCACTGCCAGAGGCAATACAGCCTCCAGGAAGTCACCCCACGTATTGCGCTGGTATGTGGACAAGGTGAGGTGCAGAGAGTGCATTCCATCCTGGCATTCGGCTTGGTGAATGAAGCCCCGAGGAAAATAGAGCAAATCTCCAGGTTCCAGCACGGTCTGTAGCACCGGCTCACCGAGGTCGTCCTGGCTGAAGTTGGGGCTAGATGTCAGGGCCAGTTCCTCAGTCGAGACCCGGGGTCGGTAGACACGCCAGAGTTTCCTACCTTCCAGCTGCAGCACAAAAGCCTCGATGTCGTCGTAGTGGGGGGCAAAGCCCTGCGAGTTGGGGGGTGTGAGGTAAACGTTGGAGCCGGCCATGCTTCCAAACTGCTCCTGGAGCACAGCCAAAAACTGCCACACGGTGGTAGAGAAAGCCTGCGGGCAAAGGAGGCGTAGGGAGCAGCCGGCCTGGTACAGGGACCACGCCGCAGCCGGTAGGGCACGGCCGGGCGGGTTCAAGGTTTCGCGCCGCCCACTAACGTAGCGCGCCGCGTCCAGGTGCTGCCCAAACTGAACCTCCTCGTTGCGCAGCATGGAGTCCAGGTCAGCGGTAGAAAAGAGACCCTGGTAGTAGGTGTGGTCCTGCCGCCGCACTAGCACCGCCTCCCGCTCCCACAGGCGCCGGTAGAAATGATCTGGTGGCATAGGCGAGATGAGCCACTCAAAGA